CAGGCAGCAGGATGAAAAAAATTCATACACATTCTTGCTCACCCTCTGCCTGGAAACATGTATTAGAAGCATGTTTGAAGAAAAATTGCAGGTAAAGACATAAGGGATCTGTAATAACAAAGGAACTACTATCCTCCTGCTACAGCATTGTATATTCACTCACACACGTATTTTAAAAGGAATTTTAACCACATTGCCTTTAAAATTATACATACTGTAAATTTTCAGGGAAATGGCAGTAGAGTGATTAGCTTGGCTTCTCTCTCTGGCAGGTCATTCTTCCACTTGCAAGTCTCCATGACCTTGTGGTAATTAAGAGGAAAGGAGATCATGCTGAGTAGAAAACAAAAACAGGGTTTATTTCCAGCTGTTTCTCTGTTTTGTTAGGTATCTCCACTCACATGGCAAAAATTACCTATATTCAAGGGCTTCATATACATGGCTGATGCCTTCCCTAATGGAGGAATGTACACAGCTGTTAAGTAACAGACCTTGGCTATTGTCATGACTCAGGTTCAGCAACTCAACACATGAATAGCTTCTCAGGTATCAGCAGGTTCCTTCATGGAACCAAATTGTGGCTTCAGTTTCAAGTAATTATCTCATTTAATTAGTGTGGTTTGCAATACCAATCTGCTAAAGACACTAGCTGAGTAATTCTAATTTGGGAATAATCAAGTACTTCCCCTGTATTATTTTCCCTGAATATTATCCACCACAGACTCACAGATCTACTTCCCATTTTTATGTGACGCAAATGGGTGCACGTAAAGTTACAACAGCAAAGGGCCACAACCTCCTGCAATAGAAAATAGAGCAAACATCAGATCACCATGTGTGCAATACAAGACTGGGAGTCAGGAGTCTATTCCTGAATCACTAATTTTGCTGGGAATGTAGTTAATCCAACTTTCTAAGGTTTCTTTTAAAGAAAAGAAAGGTTTCTTTTCATTCTTTTCATTAAAATGGGTGTGCATACTGCATATCATATTTCATAGGGTTCCTGAGGCATGGCCAGGCTTCATAAAATGCCCGAAATCTATCAAATGAAAGTATATAGCTAGTTAAAAATACAAAACAAACAACACAATTCACTAATATTCCATGTGACCCACCTTTTCCTTCAGCTTTCTGATTCAGTTTCCTTGCGGATCATTGCTCAGGAAGCTGAAGCCACAGACTGAAAACAGCCTGCAGCCATGGGATGCTTACCTAATGCTGGTGAACAGAATCCAGCCTAGTGTGCTGGCACCAAGATGACACCAGAGAGTCAATTCCTGTAGCTGACTCACCGCTGGCTCTAGGCGAGGCACAAGATGTATTGTTGTGAAGAAGGCTGGATCAGAGTTGTCTGCTCCATGACACACAGGCTTGTTAACTTCTCCAGGGAGGGCAGAGACAGAGCTGATCTTCACCCTGCTTCACACTGCAAGCCACGTTATATGGGTTTTTTAATTGCATCAGAGATCATGCCTTTATGACAATAGCAGGAGAACTTGACACTTTTTGATGTCCCCTGCAAATCGAGATCATAAACACGAGTACAAATTGATATGCGACAGACCAGAGAGGGGCTTGCACTGGCACAGTGAAGGTGAACACTCATTCAAGGCTGCAGACCTGTAACTCCAACAGAGGCATGGAGGCTCTGTGGAGACTGTCAGGGATGTGTGCTAAGAATCACTACTATCCAAAGCTTTAAATGGTAATGTCTACTTCATTCTAATGAAATTACCACTGCAACAGGCCCTTCATCTGTTCACCTAACAGACGTACTGTTGTAGAGCAAATTTCTGCATCTCTGAGAAGCAGCCTAAAAGCTGCATGCCTGCTCTGCACAAATCAGCCTCTCCAGTTAACAAAATTCTGCTTCTCCATCTGTTCAACAACTGCTCCAACCCAGCAGTCAGAAACCAAATGAATTAAGAGAGTGAAAGTAAGTGACCTCTTCCAAACGGATCATGTAGAAGTCTCAATTTACATTAGGTATTCAACAGCCTCTAAGTAGCAAGAACTTCTGGTCATGAGCAGCTGACAGAAGTTAAGCCTGTGACAAGAGCCCAGGGTACCTCCATGGTCCCTAATGGAGACAAATCTTCTCTCAGGGGCAGGTAGGCAGATACACAAATCTTGCAGAGATTTCATCATTCACCAGTGTTAAATCCAGGGTGGTGATTATACTCTTTCACTTCCTTCTCTTAAGGGTAAGGCACTTTCCTCTCCCTACAAGGATTGGTTTCCTATCATATTTTTGTCTCTCCACTTATTTTTCTCTGTTTCACATAAAGTCCTGTTTTTCCCAAGAGTTTGCTCAGCTACATCCTTCATCAGCCCATGCTGCAGTGTGATTTTTTTCACATGGCACATATGTCCTCTGTCAACATATACCCTTTTATATTTAGTCCATTCCTTCTCCCTGTGCACCCTGTGGGATCACTGTGCAGTTATTTATTGCTTTTGCCAAGCATTTAACTAGTCCAAGAAAGAGATACAGACAGACTGTACCAAAAACAAACAAAAAAGGCACCTCCCAAAATAGACTTAGTCCGTATGTTTGCCCTCCCTTTCACCAAACTGCCTGTTGGCATAAATTCACATCCCTGTTCACTGGTATGCTTTTTTTGGCCGCCAGTATCTTGGGAACATCTCAACAGCTGGATTGTGTGCAAACCTACATTCATATGATCTCATTGTGTTCTCATATATGGCCATTTCAAAGATGAATGTGCTAAAGAATGCTTTCTCTGATGGTAATCAGTTACTGCCAAACTTCTCAGAACACAAATATGTTTGCATCATATTCTTTCTTCTGCTCGCACATCTTCTGTCTTCTGAAAAACCTGCTTTACAATTCAATGGGTATTGTCACATCCCCAGATTTTTTGTACTTTAGTTGCCAGTTGTCTTACCCTGCGGCATCCTTCTGAGTATTTATAAATTACAAAAGCAAGCTGAGGTAATTACCCAAGATGACCAAAAATCTCAGGACAGGTAGTCAAAAGCAGAATCCCTCTTGGCAGAATATTCCTTCTGGCTGCATTTCCCTGCAGTGGAAAAAACTACTCTCTGATTACAGAAACAACCCCTGGAGGATAATACTAGAGAAAACCCACACTATTTTGTTTAGTTCTCCATGGCTATCAGACCAGCACCTCACTATAGTCAAACATAACACAGTATGCAAAAATATGCAGCAAGTGCCTTAGAGGGACTGAACTTTTCCATAAGTCTGAGAGCAATTCAGGAGGAACCTCAATGAAACATGCTCAAAAGGGGGTGAGTGGCCTCAGCAAAGGTGGTCTGGAATGGAAATTTCCATATTTTTTAGTGTGTTGAAGGAAAAACTGTTTCAATAAATGTTCACTGCTTTTTAGTGTGTGGCATAGAGGATGGCAGAGAGAGCTTGCAGAAATCCTCCATGAACAGACTCCCTTTGCAATACAGAGAATGCATTGGGTGATTCTGCTGAAAAAGGACAGAGGAAAAGGACAAACACATTCAGAAAACAGCAGCCAACTATTCATTAATATTCTTCTGCCGCTCCCCAGTCCCCTCTCTTCAAAGCAGATAACGTCCCCTCTCTACATACTCTCAGATAATCTCTCACTACAAAAATCACAGCCTACCACATCAGCATCTCATATTGAAACACAGGGTACAGATGAGGGTAGACTCACTTTTATCTTCTGCAGTTCACCTCTCAGGGCCTGTTAATAAGAAATTAAGATCTATGTAAATTTGATTATGCCTGCTGAAAACTTATTCTCAAAACAAGAATTCATAAGAGTTGCAGTATGCTACATAGTGGTACAAGCCAAAACACCCAGAAAAACACTGCCACTCCAATTTTCACAGCTAATTTAATTCTTTATTTCATAAGAATGTTAACTAATTCAAACCAACCCTGAGGGCTTAATAAACACTGAGGTTGTTCTAGGCCTCAAAGTTATCAGTTAAATTCCTGTCACAGAATCTCTGTTGCAACAGAGCTTACAACCTAACTTGTTATGGAAGTCACTGAGAATGATTATACTTTGGACTGTAAGATAGCATCTCTACAGGATCATTTTCAGATATTCTAAGAATGGATTCTTTGACTGCTAGCAGGGTGGTAAAGACCAAGGAAATCTGTTCTAGTTTGCAGGGGTTTATTTTCAATGGTTAAAACACTGTCCAGCCTGAACAATGGCCTTTAGGATTAAGTAGGACGCCTTACAGGACTCTCCTTATTTCTTGCAATAGTTTGAAAAAAGAGAACTCAAATGAATATGAAGAACAATACCAGGAAGGAGATACCTGAAGTATTTTAACACAAACCTAGAGGGGTCAAAGACTGATGCTTATCCAGACAACATCCAGGAACCTGCAGGACAAACAATATTCAACCAAGATCCTGCTAAAAATCATACATGTTGCTGGGCTACCATGATTAGTGCTATTTTTACATGTAATGATACCAAGCCCGACCAATTTTAAAACCCTGCCAAACTGAGAAGAGCTCAGATGACTCCTCAGGAGGTCCTATGATAATGTCCAGACATAAACCCCCACAGACAGTTGTAACCTCCACAAGACTGCCACACATTGTACTGCCCGAGGAAGATGTTTCTGCACACTTCAAAAAGAGCATAAAATGGTAAAAGCCCGATAAGCTCACAAGATCTGAAGATACTGTATTTTCCAATGCTTCTGCTTGCCCCAGATGAAATTCTACAGGGAAAGAAACATCCAGCACTCCTCTTTTCTCCCTTCTTTGCCTTGCCCCACTTGCTATATTTACAGGATCCAAACTTTTCATTGAATTCCATTGTAATCTGTGTAAATAAACACAAGAGTAAAAAAAAAAAACACCTAATTTTGGAGAGCCTGGGCCACTTCCAGCTTGCCTGAATAGCTGGGCTGTGCATGGAGCTGGAAGGGTGTTTTTAAAAGGAGGGAAGCAGAAGAGAACAGCTTAAGAATCTTGGCTCAGGCTGGGCATATTTCCGCCTGACTCTGGCTAAACCTCAGCACGAAGGGCTGGACGAGGAGTCGATAGGAAGCCGGGCAGGAGGGAGGGAGGCTGCGGGGCTCTCCAGCACAGCCACGGCAGAGCCCGGGCAGGCTGGAACCATGCTTTTCCTCTGGGCACTGGCATTTGTTCTCGTCCTGCAGGAGCAAGATCCTTTAGGTAAGTGACTGTGAACTTGCGAAGCAGAAACTGGAGCTTAATCTCAGTATGGTCAAAGACTTTGCATGGGGTGGGAGGGGGAGGCAAATATTTGCTTAATTTCTCTATGGATTTTATGTGAAGGTGACACAGGTATCTGTCAAAATTCTCTGATTTGAGAGGTAAAACTTAATTTCTGTGACATTTAAGTCTGTCCTGTAGGCATATCGCTTTGGTAGATTTGAAGATTTTTTTACTTCTTACAGGAGATAGTATCACTCTACCTTCAGAAATTTAGAACCACATTAAAGTGCTGCAGACAGTGCTCTGAATTTCCATAATTACTGTTCTGGCAGCCATATTAATATCACACCAATCCACTCAGAAATGAGATTGAAGTTCAAGGTTATTAGAGAAAGATTCTCCTTTATTCAAAGCCGCCTTTTAAAATTTTCAGGTAAGAGCATCACCATTTTGTTTCTTTTGCTTTGGACTACTTATTCCTGAGATTTTGAGGTACATAATGAATTCTCCCAAAAGCCTTGGGAGAACAAAGAATAAACAGAGAACATCTCATAAGTCTGCATCTGAATACTTTCATTAACAAGAGATTAGCACTGAATAACCTGTAATCACATTGTAGTGTGACTGAAAGCGATTCAGTTTCACTAGTTCAAGGGTTTACAGTCCCTGTGTAACCACAAACCTGGCTTCCCAGCCTGTTTGCACTACATCTTTTCTGCTAGCTGAGCCTCAGGTTTATTTTCCCTCTAGTCCTACTTTCTTGACAAGACAATAGTTGTATTTCATGGCAGGGTAGTAAGAGCCTATTACATTCAAAACATTTCCTAAAAAACTGTTAGTCCCTTCTATCCCCAAGTTCTAGTCATTCTTTGTCTCCCTGACTCCCTTCTACTTAATTAGCTTTGTGATGTTTATCTCAGTGATGAACTGAGATATCAATGCAACACCAAGAGCACTCTGTTTTCATTCCACAAGAATTCACTGTCCTCTCACGAGTTTTGTGAGCTTCATTGGAATAAATGTGAAATAAAAGAAAATAACAAATGGCTTTGTCTATTCCCATAAAAGTAGGGTTTTGACCTAAAATAATTCGCAAACTCAGATAAAATTTGGTTAATTAGAATAGCACTTCAATAATAACTGCAGAGGAGACTAGTGCCCAGTCTCATGCCAGGTGGCAGCTACTCAGTCAGCAAAGCACGTTTACTGTCTTAGTGGTTTTCATGCAAAATGAGAAATTTTGTGTCTGTCATGGCCAGGGGAGCACCCTGCCAGACTGAAGGCTTAAAAAAGCCATCCCCACTTTCCCTCTGCTACCTTTGGGTTTGGAACATTTGATTTCCTTGTAGATCTCCCCATCCTAACTCCCACGAGTTCCTCTCAAAAATTATTCAGCCAAACTAGAATTCACATTTTAATCCAGCCATTAATATAAACATTCTCACATTCAAAGAGCTCAGCCTCCAAATCATTCAGGGGGAGAGGCTGGCACGGGAGCCCTTCTGGATGCAACCATGTGCTCCTGGCACAGTTCCAGTGCTTTGCTGCCGGTGCTGGGTTAATTTGCGAGGCGCTGCTCAAACGCAGCGCACGGCGTAGCCTGGAGCACAATACCTGCCCCATTTAAGCGTGTTTCCAGGCGAACCGTTCCGAGGGGTGTGGCACCCCAACAGCGAAGATTTTGCTCCGTGTTTATGGTGGCAGAGAGGTGACCTGGAGTTCTGGGTAAACAAGTACCTGCCCCGCCACAGGGACCATTAGCGGAGCGCAGCAGCACCGAGCGCTCCGCCCGGCGCAGCCTCCAGCGCTGCGCCGTGACTCGCTGCCAACAGCGGACGTTTCCTTCGGTTTAACTACAGGTTAAAGTAAACCAAGTGTATGAATGGCTCTCTTCATTCACCTAACATTTTTTCAATTCCCAAGATGTTTTGAAACCTCTGATATTCACATGCAATATCAAAGCTGGGAAGTTCTATATGCTAGGCAATTATCTAGAAACTGGGGGAAAAAAATCATTTCAGAAGAGCCAGATTCTGCCCCAAATTGACCAGTTGCTTTATCAAAGAGGAGCACCTTTTCTCTAGGACATTAAACCACTACATTGTAGAATTAAAGCCACTGTAAAAATTTATTATAGATATCCTATTCTAGGCCAGATTTGGACTCATATTTCTCTACTAACAAATAAATAACGTTTTAACCTATACTCCATGTTATAGGTATTTTCTGTCTTTACAGAAAGCTATCAGCATTATTATCTCCAACACAAGGATTACAGTCCTTGTAATTACAGCCACCTTTGAGCTCTAACAAAGAAGGAGAAATAAAGTTTGAGACAACAAAAGTGCACCCCAAAATAACTGTGTTTTTTAAGATTGTGAGGTAACTGGAGATCAGGGTTCAGTACAGAAGTGAGCATTTTATAAAGTTATTTTATCTATCTGTAAAGTCCTATGTTTTCTTATGTTTAGTTAAAAGGAATTTAAGTTCTGTGGACTTTGTAACACCCAAACATAAAGCGAAAATTAGTATCAAACTCCCCCCAAAAATCAGGAGTTTAGAAATATAGGACTCCTGTTGTTCACCTGCAGGATGTGGCTCTATCCATAAATGCAGCTGATCCGCTCTGGCTGAAGCAGGTGTAAGTCCTTGGCCTGAATGTCAGGATCTACTATGTATGTATGTGTGTGCATATCTGCCCTTCTCTCACTATTCTACTTCCCGAGCTGTTGCAGAATGGATGAACTGTCTGCCAAGATAAAATATATCTTCAGGCAAGTTCTTAGATTTGTTCAGATATTAGAAACAAACCTAAAATTATATTCTTTCATTGTACTAATTTCTTTCTACTATAATGACTTAGACATAGGAAAACTACACAATCACAGAGCTGACTAAGAAGTCACAGACTCACCTCGCCCACTCCCCTGACAATCATTTCTATTACTAAACACAGACCAAAAGCCATGTCCTCATAAAACTGAGAAACTCTATCCCCTGATACCACTACTTATCCTCAAATTGCTGGTGGAGTCCATTATTTATGTATCTCACATCCTCCACTTTCAAGCCACCCTTAAGCTCTCTAATTCTGCACAACTTGGACTCTTTTATAGAAGAATATATATATATTATACAGTTCCTCTTCTTCCTAAACAGCTTCCCCTTCTCTACACAAGAATATGCCCTCTACAGCTTCTAGCTATAATCCTTCTAACATTTAGCCTTGGTTTCAATAACAAAGATACATTCACATGAAAATAAATACATAATAAAGACAAACTTTTCTGCAGCCCAAAGCATCGTAAGATAAAGCATGAAATAAGGTACCTGCTAATTACATAGCTTGTGTCTCTTATTAATCCAATTCCCTGTAGTCATTTTCCATTGCAAGAGAAGCAAGAGCAAGAGGATATTCTCTGTCTGCTTGTTCAGGAGACCAGCATGCTGAAAACACTCTCCAAGCCAATAGTTCCCTCACAGAAACATTTAATTACTATCCTTCTTCTTTTGAATTAAAATACACAAAATTTAAGTGCATCTTATAATCACAGATGTGGTCAAACAGCAGAAAAAAGAAAGTAGTTTTTCAAGTAGCAATTTTGCTTCTCACACATAGCCATGGCAGGGGCCCAGATTTTTCTGTGCCTTAAAAAAATACACCACCCACTGGGAGCATGAACTATCCCTGGTCTTGTGCACTCCCTCTTAATCTCCACTGCTGGATGAGAGATGGATCCCCTTATGAAAAGAGAATTACATGGGTCACAATAGCAAAAGTTGCCTGTAAATGAAAAGTTTTACACAGAAATATCTGCTATCTAGTCAGGAACAATTGCTATGAGGTCCCATTTCTGGTTTTGCACATTTCACAAGCACAAGTGATGTGTGGTTGGACCAGAACACACTGTGACAAAGTCCCACACCCAGGTGGATGGGACACACCAGGCAGACATGAGAACTCGTGGGTTGGTACCTGACTCACCTTCATTAATATATTCCCCAATCCCCGAGATTCCCCCTTTGCTCCTTCTCTTTCAGGTAAAAAAGAATTAAAACAAGTACAATCTTAACTAATGTAGGATCTAAAATAATACTCACAGCAGTATATTCTACAGCTTGATAAACAGAGTATGAACCAGGTGTGCAATTTTGGAACTTGATTTTCTGAAATGGTTATGTAGCTTCTAAAATTAATATTAAAAACAACTAATTTCATAGAAGAAACTTAATTCAGGATGCTTCCCTTATCAGAGGATCATAACTCTTAGATACCAGAGAAATCCCTTGGATTTTTTATTATGTTTGAAACCTTTCCAGGACTTGACATTTAGGCAGGAGTTGAAGTATTCAGTGAATGTACAGATTACAGATTAATCCCTAATCAGGCATTAAAAACTTTCAATGTACCTTCTTGAAATTAAAAAACCAACCAAACAAACCAGAAAACAAACAAACAAAAAAACAGCATTCTCACAACTCCTAAATTTCAGATCTTCCTATACTGTCAGTTTACTGTCTAATATACAATGCCCGATTTCCATTTCCCACTTTGGATAAATCATATTGACCCTGTATGAAATTTACCTTGTTGTTCTGCCATGAAGCTAGAGCCTAGTAAAGGTGTGTGCACACTTAAATATTTACATGTATATATATTTATATGTGTATATTCTTATGTAAATATAAGCATACCTATGCAGTTGCCTCCAGTGTGAAGCATATGGCAGTATGTAAGTTGCTAAGGAATTTTAAATATTTATTACAATTCCAGCAGTCCTTATTGCAATCACTAAAGGTAAGAATTCCCTTATCTTTAAGAAAATAGAGACTAAACTCAAAAAGAAGTTCAGAGGTATCTAAATCACAGTTAAGCATTATGAATTACAGCCAGAAAGATGCTCTATGTACAGTTAAAGATATGCTTCTGAGTGGCTAAGAACCTGAAGGGAATCTGTGCTCCAAAAAGCATTTTCAGTACAACACTTGCTATCCAAATAAATTATTTTTTATGTCCTAACAATAAAATTTGATATGGCTTGACTTACATAAAACAGCTTAAAATGAATTTAAACGTACTGGTGATAATAAAACTGGTAGTGACACAAAGTTAATTCAGTACTTCCATATCCAAGGATGCCAATGTAATTAATTAAGAGCTGACATTAGTAGAAACTAACTTTGATGCCTTGAAGAATACCCCCTAAAATTAAAGATTACTAAGTTTTAGCTTAGTCTGTGGTCTGAAAGCACTAGTACTGGTAGTTATTAGTATCAGTTCAGGTTCAAAGCAATTGAATCTTTCCTGAAATCAGCTGCAAGGCATCTTCACCAATCACTCAGAAAATGATGTGATTTCTTGAGCTAGCATTTCAAAATTACATGCAAATTTCCAAGTGGAATCCAGCACTTATATTTAGAGAAAAAATAATTTAAGCAAGGATCACCAAAATCCATTCAGAAGTGTGTTGCATTCCTCCCAAACTGGTTAGTGAATTAATCATTTGAACTTGATCCTCCAGTTCATTACCTTTTCCCTGTTGGAACATAAATCATTACTACTGCCATTCCTTTTCTCATCAAAGGCTGTCTGGCCATATGCTATGTTTTAGGAATAAAATGATACTACTAAACCTAAGGCAGTGCAAACAAAAACACACAGCACAGCATGTTTTCTTGAAGAATTAGCCATGTTCTCCTTTATTCCCCTTGCTCTATCACGTGTTTTCAGGCTTCCTCATTTGCCATCTGGTTCCTATTTCAATCTCCTATGTCTTTCACTTCGCTTGTGGCCTGCTTTGTTTTATGCCTCCTGCCCTACTAAGCACAAACAAGAATTGTATAGGTTTTAAGACCAGTGGAGAACATTGTGGTCACTCACCTTGACCTTCTCTGTAATGCAGACCAAAGAATCCAACCCAACAATTTATAAATCAAGTCTGTAACTTCATTTGGACCACCAATGTGTCATTAGGAAGGATAATTTAAAAGACCTACCAGATCTGTGTGGTCACATACTTCAGTTCTGGCCATTCTAATAACCACAGAAAATGACAGCAGAGAGGCAGTTGCTCAGGTTTATTCTAATGTTGACCATTAGCAACTACTTGGATGATCAAAATGAACCATTTTGAATAGCACCTGAATAGAAAAAACCCGCACAGTCCTAGAAGGGAACTTCGTCAGGGAGCACAGAGAAGCAACATCTTGTGGAGTGGGGGAATATATTGAATGTACAGGTGGCAGAAGAGCTGAACTGAGGGATATTCTTAATCTAAGGCCTCTGTTCTTAACCTGTTTAGTAAGGCTGTTTTGATTCTCACTTCATTGCTCTTTCTCTCCCTTGCTATAAAATCAAGTTCTCTACAGTCAGGTTGACCATGATACATAGATCTTACTCTCCATTGTGCTACTTCTTTCAAACTTTAGGCATATTTTTCTAGGAAACAGATCCTTATTAACAAGCAGTTCAGAGATGCTCCATTTCCCTGCCAGGGTCTGACTGTATCACAGCCCAGGGTGGTTGGAACAACCCAGATTTATGGGCACCATCTATGTAGGACAGAGAACTTAATAAAGAGGAAAAAACGCATGAGTCATTTTCTCATCTTGAACACAAGAGTTCTGGCTCTTGATGGAAAATAACCACCCTATATATCAAATAGAATAGATTTCAAGAATTTAACTAAACACCTCACTTGTAAGAAACATCAGGTGGAAATTTGCAGATGGGACATTAACTGAAAGATAACGTTCTCGCTGCCATATTGAAATGTTACAAGTGCCTGCATGAAATAATCTATTAAATTTCAAATGAGAGAATTAAGACATTGAAATATACCTCCTACACTTGTCTAAATTGTCAGAAGTTGCAAGCACCCACACATTTTAAATATGTAATTTATATGGTATACAAAGAACACTTCACTTTTAAAAGTGGTTAGCTTCAACACTTACTACCAAAGTTATCTCTATTTACACATGTGCTTTGAAACACAGACAAGGAAAAATTCCAATTTAAAAAACATTTAAAAAATGTTTCTTCATTAACTTCAGAAAGTAAGTACCTGGAATTATCCTAAGAAGTCATTAGTCTTTCGCTTACATAGTTTGCAGCCTTCGCTCTTTGCTTCCTTTACATGGTGACTGTTATTATTTTATGCAGTAGAGATGCTGCTGGAGTAAGGTCAGTGCCAAAGGCAGATAGTGTCCCTTTCTTCTACCAGCTGCAATAAAGAAGGGCAGTGCTCATAAGCAACATTCCATGTGCTGTCTTTGAGCACATGGAAATTACTGCTTTGGCTGAATTGCCTGACCATGGTGACCCAGATATGTGCCATATTTACAAGGGACCGGATGTGTCCTGTGAACAGCCCATCCCAGAGATAAAGCTGGGCTTAAGACCTAAAGCCAAACAACAGAATAACAATGGGCATTTTGGGAAGCCAAAGCCTCAAGCTAGGACTCAGAAAAAAGAAGACATCTACACTGACAAAGCACTGGCTGCCCAGCCAGCAGCAGCTGAAATAGCCTGTTCTGGCATGGTGGTGAAGGGTCAATTACAAGAGCCTGAGCAGCTCTGTTCTAACAAGACATGGACATGCAGTCCTGAGAGGGTTTCTCCTAGCTCAGCCCTCTCACAGCTCCATACTGTGAGGGCTACAACTAGACACGCTTTTGCTTATACTAACCTTTAGCGTTGCTAACATCAGCTGTCAGGTGGTTTCTGAGACACTTAGGCTTGGCCTGTTTGTCAAATGTTTAGGCACTGCACTAATTCTGTGGTTCTGAGTGATATCTTACAGCCCTGTCAAACCCTGTTTGACTTGGTCCTCCTTCAGTACTCCAGCCCATTACACCTGCTAAGGCAGAAAAGTGCTTGGAGCGATGGAAAGCTGCCTCCCTCTGTGTCAGGAGAGGAACCCACTACCCCAAGGAACCAAGAGTCCTGTGGCTCACAGCAACCCCTTAACCTCATTCTCTAGAAGCACACAAAGCTGTGCAGTGCTTTGCTAAGCTCACAAAAGATGCAACAACCTTATACTGGCTGTACATGATATGTATACATGTCCTTTGAACAAATATCAGTCATCCACCATATCTAACCTCCCCACCTACAAACACCTGCCTAGAGAATCAACCACTGCAATTTCAGTATTTCCACACTGTTCCAGTCATGATGGAAAAAAAACATGTAAAGAAGCAAAAATTTTGAGAAATAGCATGGTTCATTTGACCACTAAGATATAACAACACTCACAAACCACCACCACTAGCAGCAAACAGGGGGAAAAAAGAGCAACTGCAAAGCAGCTGCTGTTGAAATACCTGCTGTATTTCAGCACTCTTCTGTAGTCTTTGGGATTCTGTCCTAACAGCACCACCTCCTGGTGACTGCACTAAAAAAACCAAACCTCTGCCAAACCAATTTCTAAATAATGCCCCAGTAAGTCAGGTCACTGTGTAATTGCTCCTCCACCCTCCAATTCCAAGGATGCCATTCCAACTGAGAGTACATCTCTCATCCACCCCAAACTGCAGGGATCCTTACTGACACGTTTGCCATCACCTGACGCCTACACTTCAGAAATCTTGGCACAGGCTTGAGATAAAGCACAGCAGCAGTTCCAAAACACTGCTCTGGCACAGCAACACTGAAGACAGAATTAGTTACTGCTCATGTGTCTTACTTTCTTTACAACACAAGCTGTTTTGTCTTTGTTGCAATCAAACAATGACAGAATGAGTTACTGCTGCTTCCTCATTATCATAGCTGCTTCAAGCATCAAACAAGAGCAAAACCTAACTTTAAATACAGGAAGATATGTTATCACTTTAGCACAGTTTAAAATATTCCACTACAGCCCTCTGCACACATTTGAAAATTTAAATGTTACTGAATGCTGCACAGAAGTTACGAAAAGCAAATAGGCTCCACTAAAGCATGGACACCAGCAGCTACTGACCCTTCATAGAACACAGCCAGTATAATGAAAAGTTCAAAGAGCAAGAGCTCATGAGTACTAAGAGGTAAACACAGATAACTGAGTTATATGTCACACAGAAACATGTGACTCTGTGCATAGCACCACATACAAGCCAGCAAATGTGCTCAGAAATGAAGCATTTTTTATTGCTTCCCTTCCCAAAGTCAGACTGTTGTGGGACAACTTTCTGGCAGAGCAATCATCAGCATCTATTTAGAAAGTGGACAAGCTTAGCTTTACCACACCAGCTGCTTCTGAAGAAAGTCTATGAGGAACTGTTGTGTAAGGCAGATCTTCCCAACAGTTAGGTTTTACACTTAAGAGAGACAAGAGTCACAGCATATAAACTTACCCTACACAGATAGAAAAAATAGATTATGTAAAACAAACACAACATAAACAGAACAAAACAAACACTGGTGGCAAGAGAAAACACCTCGTTCCAACCAACATGACATGTGCAGGCAAGTACTGACGCACAGCTGCAGTTACTGGAAATGTTCATTTCCTATATTTGGCTCATAAACAATGCTGTGTAGCATGCAAAATACCACTTCAGAAATCTCAAAGACAAGGACTGCTATTAAACTTCTGCTAATTAACTGTGTCTATATTTCCAGCTGCTGGTGATCCTATCAGCATGGTACCTGAAAGTTCAGAAAGAGGAAGCTGGTGTAATGAACATATGATCCATGAACGCTTAGATATTATTGAAGAGGTAAGAGGGATTGTGCTGGCTCTTGAACCTTACCAGACCTCTGCCCTATCCTTTTGACCAAATAAAAGGGGTGTTTCTAGACAGTGTCCCTTCTTGACTTTATTCTAGTCAAGGTTGGACTACTTTTTCCAGATGCCATTGTTTATAACTATCCATAAAGCTATTATCACCAGAAATATAGAATCTTGGTGAATTCCAAAAATACGATTAACAGTTTATCAGCCTTTTCTACAATGTTTATAACTGTGCCTTTAATCTAAAAATCTCAGAACTGGTATTTGTAAAGTTTCACATTGGCTTATGGGTAGATGCAAGTCCTGCAGGTGACTCCAAGATAGACAGATAAAGAAGTTTCTGTTCTGGGATTCCAGGAAAGCTGCAAAGTTTGATTTTTTTTTCCTGGTCTCTTAAGCACTTACAAGATACCTGCTATATATTCTCAGCTGCGTAGGTCCCAAACTTCATGCTGTGGTTCTCAAATGGGAACATTACCTCTCCTCTGCTCTAGTCCCAGCCCTCGTCTTTCCACTCCATCAGCTCCTCTCACTGTCCATGTAGATTCTTTTATTGCATTTAGTAAATTGCATTTCTCTCAGAAATGAGAAAGAATTAAAAACAAACTAATGAAAAGCTCCAAGAAGTCAAGTTCTTCTTTAGACAGGGGAGCTGTAACAACTCTTGCAAAACCAAGTGCTAATACTTGGTGCCACTAGAGGCCAGCAGAACAAAAGAAGTGTTTAAACCTGCAATGTGTATTAGATTAAAGTAGCTGTTGGCATTATAGGACATTATATGAGGCATTATATGAGGTTTGCATTTCCAAACACATCTGGTCCAATTCCTTCCACTTGACCCTCTGACTACCTTCTTTCTCCATTTGTCTCCCTTGTTTCCATTAGAAGGTAATAAAAACAGTGGAGCACCTAGAATCAGAAGTCAAATCGCTCCTCAACATCATCAGTGAGACAACACTGAACATCCCCACCGTTCCAGGAACTCCACTTATAGACGTTTTTGATGGTCAGTATCTCATCAGGTATAACCTAAGTTGAAAAAAAGGGTTACACATGTTATTATTAAATATGCCATATTTTCTCTCTCAAGATGTGAACTAATTCAGCTCAGGGCAGCTAAGGCCTCAGAACTGGGGTCTCAGGACCCCAGCTGTGAGTCCAGTTTGGAAAATCAGATTTCAACAACCACTAGGTTAGGAGAAAAGGAAGCAACTCACCTTAGAACAGCAGGACAGATGAAGTTATCTCAAGGTCCCTTTCAGATTTAAGATCCCGTGATTCTTTAGCTTCATGTGTGACAAAATGAGGCAGCAACAAAAGTTTACAAAACTGGAGGTACTGCCACTTTGATATCCTAAATCCAACTTTGACATGTAAGCCCCTCACACAAAACATGCTCCTGGATAAACGTTTTTGGAATACATTAAACCACAACAAAAATTAGTTGGATGAGACCACCTATTATACCCACTTTCTTATAATGCTCTATGCTCTTCATCCTCTGCCTAAATATTTTCAACAGTGCACTTAAGAAGGCGAGACACTCTTGGTGGAAAATAAACCACTTGTGGATAGATGAAAGCATCCACAGACATGTTTATGAAGTCAGTTTTGTCAGTGCCCTGCTGTTTGTTCATTTAAGATAGCTGTACCTGGGCACACTACAGTGCACTTACATGATGGAAGTGGGCTTGAAGTAGACAGCAGTAGAGTTCATGCTGGTTTTTGGTTCTTGAAGTTGGCTGTATGGATCTGGTAACAATGACTGACACTGTCCTCACCAACTTTATTACCCATTGAAGTTTACAGTTTTCTGTGAGGGGCAGTTAACAGGTTACCAATTAAGTTACTCCCATACAATGGAAGGGGGTATTCCAGTAAACTGAAGAATATTCCAGTAAAGCATTGCAGTGAATTTAAAACAGAAATCAGCACAGTTGCAGCAAATCTATAGCAAGTACTACTCAGATCTTGCAACAACGGCCAAACTACTCAAGAACGACAGGTTGGACCTTCCTTCTATGATTTTGTGAATCAGTGTGACAAATCCCCACTTTAGAGTAGCAATATTCATGTTTTAAAAGAGATTTATCCACAAAGATTGATCCTGATCTCATAGCCCAAAATAATCACATCAACTCTTCTGTATACAGATACCAGCTGAGCACTGTGAAGACAGAAGACAGCTGAACATAACAGTGTGGTTGTCATAAATATTTGCACTTGAGATCATTTAATAAGCTTGTGTTTCGAGAATGCATGCAGGGTGAACAATCCTCAGCTGTAGTTTGTCTTCTGTGTTGTTTGCTTTATAATAAAAACGTATTTGCTTTCAGACACAGTTTTAAACTTTGCATTCTAAATCTTTCAGGAGCCCTAACTTTATGAAAACCACCTTTCAAATACAGCATTGTCAGTAAGAAAACAAGATTAGATGGTGTTCAGGACTAAAGCACAGCTAACAAACTTCTCTTAATTCAAAAGCTTACTCATTCCCTTGCAAAGAAGTGAACTCTTGATATTGGTTTCAGCCAACAAAGATAGACTTCCAGCTGCAAATTCCTCTCAAGACATGATCAGATTTTCTGACAGAAATGAGAGGATGGTCTGCCTTTGTACATAGGACATCCTGCTGCCACTGGCCAAAATGGGAGTCCTGTAAGCAAGCCCCAGACAGAATCCATCATTTGGACACACACTACCATATTATTCTGTAATCGTTACATTCTCCTCCCTTGCCATGGTGACAAATGCAATCCAGAATTAAATCCAAGACATTGCCTTTTTCTTTCAAGACAAATGGCACTAGAACTTCTAGTAAAAAGGGCCTGCCTGACCCTTACACAACAGAGGGAAAACACTTAGATGTGTGTGAAGTAAGGTGAGTTAGCATGTTCTTGATTAACAAGCAGTCTACTTTCACTGAGCTAGTTTGAAAACCTTTCCCCTGCTTTGTACTTTTTACCTTTACATGTTTTTATTTTGAGAACAACAAGCTGAAGAGATGTCATCTGTGCTAGCAGAGAATAAAAATTCAGAGTTCCAAGAGTAAGAGAAATTAAAAAATGCAAAATGAAAATACTGATCAATAACTACAGATTACATGTCTCATGTACAGACAATTGCTACCAACAGCACACAACTCCCTAACTCCTACCAAAACAACAATTTTTGAATAAGCCTGTGGAAGAGAACTTCTATGGAAAAACTAAGTTAAACAAACTGAGTCATCACTCACATATCAATATGAACACCAAAAGGCACAGTCTGCAAAGTCTTAGCTTTAATCTCATAATCTCTTCTTACATATATATATATTTAAGGCACAATCCAGAACATTTAAACATTAATGACAGAATCTTTACTACTGTCAACATTACTCCTGCCTTGTGACACTCTGCCTTAGCAAGAATGAAATGTGGAACACATCTTCCTTGAAAAGAATCAAGGTAAAAAAAAACAGAACTTGACAAAACTTCTTTAAAGCAGTCTTAACTAGATAGAAAACCTCGAGGCTGCTACCTCCACATATCAGGAAGTGTGCTAGCCCAAAACCAATTCTGAATACAACAGATATAAAACTTGCACTAAAATGGCACTTAATGTTTATACAAAATAACACCTTAAAATCATACAACTGTGATCTTTGTTTCATTAAACAAACATTATTTCAACATGATATAAGCAGAAAAGAAATAATGACCATTCATGGATTGCTGAGGGTACTATACAGAATCCTGAGCAGATGGCACATTAAGCTTGGTATTTTGGGGGGCTTGGCATTTATTACCTACTACTTTTGAACTGAAGATATATGCAGTATTATCTTTTAAAATGCAATTGCCTTGTAAGAAACAGGTCATTACATATTTACTTATGGAGAAAAAAAGATGCTCTGCACCAAGTACATGAAAAGAGCAGCTTTTTAAAGAAAAACTCAATGCTCCATTTAGTCATTTCCACCACACAACTTGAGTAGGATTTTCCGGTAGTCTCCTGAAGTATCACCCTGAAAAGGAACACAGAAAAAGAAAAGTTGAAGAACAACCAAAAGAGGTGAAGCTACAGTTGAAAAACTAAGAACTTCCTTTCCAGGGACATTTTTGGCTCTACTTATTTACAGAAATAAGCAGCAGAGTTTATATATACCTAACTGTGTATGTGCACACCCATATTTACTGAAGCCAGTCCATTAAATAGATATGGCCTGTTCTGCTTCTGAATGATAAATTATAATGCCAGATCAAAAGAGGAACAGGGGGAAGAAGCAATGCAGAGCTTTTCCACCAATGTCTCACTGCTTTTTATTCATACACAGGTGGTCACAGGGCATGCAATTACTGTAGAGGAAACATTTGAATATGCTAAACTCCAGAATCTACAGGATTCTTTCCAAACACCACCAAGTTACATACCCCTCAGTGTCCACAGCAGAAGGAATAAACAGGAGCTTAACAGGTTTGGCCCCTCATTACAAGGTAAATAAAAGTGGCACCACTCACTCTCCTTCAGCTCTTACTACCCTACCAGTGGCCAGGCATCTTCCTGGCTGTTGGTACATATAGCTCTTAAGAGCAGTAGGAGGGTGGATCAACTGCTAAAGAATCTGAAGTTTAGTCTATTTGCAAAGTCCTGTACTTACAAGAGAAAGAGGAGGCAATCCTTTAGAAGATTTTTAGAAGCTTTACCTTCTTCCAACACAGATGAAGTAGAGCACCACTGTTACTCAATTGGAGGACTGAGTGGTTCCCACAAGATAATATAAGGAGATTGGGATAGAGGGGTCTCAGAAACCCCTCTGGACCAATTTCCCTTTCCTTCCTTGCTTGTTAGCTCCTCCCCATCTCTAGTTCATCTAGCCCCCATGCAAACCCAAGCGATCTCCACCCTGTGACCCTCAGCCTCCATGCTCCTGGCAAATGCAGCAATCCAACACAGCCAGCTACATCAGTGCAGGTAACAGCTGTTCAGCACAAGGGGCAGTGCTCTGCCAGCATAAGGGGTGTCATGGCAGGGCAGGTCATGTCTCCAAGGCTTACACTGATATCTGTGTAGAGAGATCTGCCATACATCCGCTTGTACTCTGCACGTATGTCCAGCAGGTCAACCTCGCTGCGCGATACCATGATCCGGATCAGCGTCCTGTCCTTGGTTCCTGCTCCCTGAAACAAACAAAGCAGCAGTGCAAAGTATTGGAAAGTGTATGGTACAGCACTAATGAAAAAATAAAATGCCTATTTACTAGAATAACCCCACTGACTTAATAAGCTTGAACAGAATTTAGCCTATCATGCTAAAATAAATTAAATGCAGTGGTAGGAAACTAATTTCTCTCTCTCAAAAAAAAAAGGGGGGATTTACAGACATACAGGGGGGTCAGAAAAATTTGGTAAGTTAAATGGCCTACTTATTTATTTCTGCTAGAATTCCCTACTTAAAAAGTATCCATTTCAATGAGTTTCAAGCATATTTGTGTTTTACCAAGTGAAGATTATTGTTTTATGCATGATTGTATGCATTGCTCTGTTAAACTGGATCAAATTAGCTAGATTTTTCCATCCTTTCATAATAATGACTGCATCATGACTGTTAGTCATCTGCCCACTGAAAAATGTAATCCCTTCAGCTGCACAGTTCCTTCCCAAGAGCTGTACAAGCATTTTAAAAAGCTCCACACTGTAAGTTTATGTAACTTGTCACAGACACCTACCTTCATTGCTTTATGTAACCTCTCTGCAAAAAAAGCTGGCGTGTTCTTGAGACATTTAACTGCAAAAAGGAACAGAGGAACAGTATTACAGAAGTAAGGCACTCCTCAATAAGAAGTCAATAATTTTTTGCGTTTATCCGACATAGCCACATGCTTGAATTTTACATAAACATACTCTTGATATAATGCAGCTTCTACTCCTTCCATGAGTCACTGAAATTATTTTTAATCCAAACAGTAGCTGCAATACAGTTAAAAAACCTACACTGCATGGCTCAAAGCAAACATTTCTGTCACTAGAAACCATCTCGTGTGAAGCAGCCATAATGAATCTTTGAATTCTAATGACCAGATTCTTGTTTATGAAGGGACAAGAGGGGATGAGGAGGGGGCAGAAGACTTGAAGGAGTACATAGGTAGCAGTGCTCCTGGCTTCTTAATTCTAAATTTTTAGGCCATGCATCTGCAAGGTGTGACAAATGCAAGTCCTGCCCTAGTTCAAATTAGGAAACCACCTATGATAGCAGAGAATCTTAGGTGGTTCCTTCTCGTTAAGGGTGAGTCATCACAACCCTTATTTTTAAAGTCTTATTTTAGCCACAGAGTTCATCAGGACTCCTGAAAAATTTTAAACATGTTCATTTAGTAATGACAGGATGTTATACTTAATTAGCATAGTGCATCAGAAATCTGAAAGAGCAAAATCTAAGTCAAATTACTGTCATGTTAATCAGGATAATGAAAGAATCCTCCATCACTGATCAGAATTAAAATCTGTATCTTGATGCAACATTGTTACAAGTAAACAATCATGCAAACTGTGGCAAACTACAGAGGAAACAGACCACACTTGACATTTAATAGCACAGTAAGGTATCAAAATCAATCACACAGAATCTAAAGGTGTAAACCCAGACATGTTTTTCATAGCAACACACATTCTGTATAGGAGTAAGTAATTTTCTCAGTAGGAAAATGTAGATGAGAGATAGCAGTTCACCACAAAACTGTCAATGATATGTACAATACTATTCAAAAATGAATGACAAAATGAAATGCATGTTTCTGTATCACTCTATTTAGCCAACACAACACAACTGCATTCTAAGATGCTTAAAGATATTGTTGTAAGTTACCAGTTGTACAATCCCGAAAGCTTTAAAGAAAGCAAAATTAAATATTTTCAATTAGAAACCCCTTTTTTCTTGCAAGTAAGGTTCACAGAACAAATGATATTAATATAATTTACTGATATAGATAAGTATGTATATACATCTAAATAAAAAACCCCACAGAATCTATTTAATAAAGAGAGTTATTCAGTGGATATTAATGACAAGCCCTGCTCAAAAGGCTATTGACTTGTCTGCCAGCTAGTCTCAGTTTTGAATCTGGATCTGCATGGAGACCTGTCAAGTCACTATGAAGCTCCACAAAGTCAAATGCCTTCTAAATGCTGAACAGTTTCTTTACCAAGGCAATATTTTTCTACAAACAGAGACATATCTTTTCCATGAGTTTGGTTTTCTAACAATAGTTTTTGAGGTGACAAAGTTTGAATCCTGGAAAAGGTTTGCAAAAGAATCAGACACAATGAGCTAGATCCAGTTTGTGTCATTAAAAGATCAGGG